TGGAGTTTGGAATATTTCACTTATGCCAAATGAACAAGGAGAGAACTCAAATAAATTTGGATTTCTCGGTGCCAATTGTGAACAAAAATCTCACTAAACTAACAGCAGATCCGTTTTTCTTAATGTTGAAACGAGATAATTTAACCTGTCGTATGGAATACTCAGGCCCGACTGTTGCCACATTGCATGTGGGAGAAGAATGTGTGTATGATACTTATTATGAAAAAGCTCACAACAACATTGAAATGACGACTTCAAACAAGTGTCGAAATGAATCGTCCTTCTCAAACGGAGGAAAACTCTATAAGATTGAGAAGTGTCAGATTTCGGCAATTGGAGATGAAAAAGAGTTTGTACAAGTAAAAATACTTGACAGTCTTTATCATGTATATTGTCCAGGAGGAGAGTACTTGGTGGGCAAGAGGAGAGTAAAATGTCCAGACAAAGTATTCACATTGCCACTATCTTTGACATTCACTCTGAACGAGGTTGAATTCAAGGGAAATATATTACGTGTCGTCTATAAAGAGGGAGAAGATCCTCTTTTTTCTGAACTCGTAAACTGGCACTAGAATCCGCGAGTCAATTGGAGTCATTTAAGTGAAGACTTAAATGAAATCTGGAACACAAATGACGAACGGATTCAAAAAGAAGCCAGGAATCTGCAGGTGTTCTCATTCAGCGATGACAATTGGACAGCATCAGAAATAACAGTGTTAATTTTAGGGATATTATTTTCACTAGTAGTTTTTCTGTGTGCAATAGTATTTCTTGTCAAGAAATGCAATATGTGTCCTAAACGGATTCAACGCCAAGCTGAGGAGCAGCCTCTCAAGGAGATCAATGGACCAAGCAATCATATTATTATTCATACGTAAATAATTGTTAAAGGGAGTGTTGAAAATAACCCTGATTGTGTATGTTATAATATGAATTATGTCGCTAAATGTGCATCATTGCACATACTTGACCACCTAATATTATGGGTGGATAAATGCATGCATGAAAAGTTGAATGACTTAGATGATGATCTTATATGTATGACAATGAGCTGCGTTTAATAAATCAGTAGCTGAAAATACTCCAACAGTCGAGCATCTCTCTCCTTATATTTTGAACAGTCTGATGGTTATCTGGGAGTGGTTGTCTGATGGTTATCTGGGAATGGTTGTCTGATGGTTATCTGGGAGTGGTTGTCTGATGTTTATCTGGGAGTGGTTGTCTGATGGTTATCTGGGAGTGGTTGTCTGATGGTTATCTGGGAGTGGTTGTCTGACAGTTATCAGGGAATAGTTGTCTGATGGTTATCTGGAAGGTTATCTGATGGTGGTTATCTGGGGGTCATCCGATGGCGGTTATCTGGGGGGGTTATCCGATGGTGGTTATCTGGGGGGGGGTTATCTGATTGTGGTTATCTGGGGGGTTATCCGATGCTGGTTAGCTGGAGGGTTATCCGATGGTGGTTATCTGGGGGGTTATCTGATGGTGGTTATCTGGGGGGTTGTCCGATGGTGGTTATCTGGGGGGGGGGGGTTATCTGATGGTGGTTATCTGGGGGGGGGGTTATCTGATGGTGGTTATCTGGGGGGTTGTCCGATGGTGGTTATCTGGGGGGCTTATCCGATGGTGGTAATCTGGGGGGTTATCCGATGGTGGTTATCTAGGATGGTAATCATGGGTGCTTATCTAACAGTTGATATATTGGTTGTCGTGACCACTTTACTTTAAAGTAAAGTAAAGTGAAGTGAAGTGGAAGTCAAATCAGGGTATGCAGGATTTTCCACTTTACTTTAAAGTAAAGTAAACTAAACTAAAGTGAAGTGGAAAATCTAGAAGCGTAAAAGTGTGACTAAAGTAAAGTGTAACATGAATTCAAAATTGCGGCGCTTTTAGCTCAGAAAATATATAATTTTACTTAAAAAAGTCTATGTCTCGGGTTTTTGGAAATGCAATTATTAAAGGCAAGATGCAAATACGTAATTATTTACGCCACTTACGAGTTAGTCAAGACGCTTAGGTATTTCTCACACGAAAGAAAAATTTTGCCAGATGGTAAAACTTTACTACCGGCCCGGTAAAGTACCGGGCTATATATGTAAGATTTTATATATATTTATCTACCTATATCTATCTATCTATTTATGTCTATCTATATATGTACTACTTTGGAAGAGTACCTCGCGTCGTATGGTCGTTTAATCTATGGGGCGAATTAAGAAATGAACTCAGGTGAAGTGAATTGAAATGAAATGAATCCGAAAGCAAATGACAGCATGCGAATAAAAGCTTTTGAACAGGTATCCATACATATATTTATGTAAGACGCGGTATTATTTTATGAGCAGATTTTTTAGATTGCACCAATATGGTTGAACTATGAACACGCATAGGTATTTCTGGTAATGGAAAATTCATTTTTCATTCCCATACTAGCAAAGGGTGGTAAATTGTAAGTTATTTATGTATAAGTGGGCGTAAACTAATTTTCGAATAGACGGCTTCGTGCTAACGGATAAGTACAATTTCAAATTATTTTACCATACGCGTGTTACATATACCACATCTACTCTTAAGTTGGACTGTGATCCATGACCTGCAGAATTCGAGCTGGTAGGAAGTTATTTATAAAACCTTCTGAACAGTGTCGGTGGGCTTTAAGGTAATTTAATACATAATGGTATTCACTTCCTTAATATTTGGTAATGAATTTGAATTTCCCTGAAATTATTATTACCATTTCTTAACCGACGTGGTAGAGCCACATAGTCATTACGCATGGTCAGGCCCTGAACTGGGGGTGGACAAGCAGGGCAATTGCCCGGGGCGCCAGACTTTGAGGGGGCGCCGACAGGCGCCCCGCTAAGCACTAGATATTAAGGATGCAACGAGCGCTCGTTTAGACTCGGTACTCGGCAAATTTTTGGTGAGCTCGTACTCTGCAGAGTTTTTTCTGCACTCGGCCGAGCTTTTTTAGTATTATTTTAACCCAAAGTAGACTAAGCGCCCCTTTCATTTTTTGTGTCTATACTCTTACCCTCTCCTCATGTCTACTGCCATTATTTCACACATACGATTAAATTTCTCACTTTCATGACTAAATAGTTGGCATATATTAGCGATCTTGTATATATACACGATTAGCCACTAGACGATCTCACCAATGTTAATCCACCACCACCGATGCCGGCACTCCACCACCACCAATTCCTCTTCCCTGCTCTGTGCCTTCTTAGCGCCAAGCGCACCTATTTTGGGTCTTTTCTTCCCTCAGGACCAGGGACCATTTTAGGGACCATGGGGTGGGGGACCAGGGACCATGGGGTGGGGGACCAGGGACCATGGGGTGGGGGACCAGGGACCATGGGGTGGGGGACCAGGGACCATGGGGTGGGGGACCAGGGACCATGGGGTGGGGGACCAGGGACCATGGGGTGGGGGACCAGGGACCATGGGGTGGGGGACCAGGGACCATGGGGTGGGGGACCAGGGACCATGGGGTGGGGGACCAGGGACCATGGGGTGGGGGACCAGGGACCATGGGGTGGGGGACCAGGGACCATGGGGTGGGGGACCAGGGACCATGGGGTGGGGGACCAGGGACCATGGGGTGGGGGACCAGGGACCATGGGGTGGGGGACCAGGGACCAGGGACCAATTTATTGCGAGCTGTGTTGCAGAGTACTCGAACTCGAAATGTAGAACTCGTTGCATCACTACTAGATATAATTGACAATTTGGGTGATAGCAGAAAGTAAGGACATGGCAATTAAAACTTTAAACTAAATGATGCAGCATAACAATTATGAGCATGATTTCAAAAAATTAATGAATTTAAAAAAATGGGAATGGCAATATTCAATGTATCATAATTTGATACTACATTGACCCTCATTAATACTTCCTACTAAATATTTCCTTTCATCAGGATAAAGTACTTCGTTGTTCATAATAAAGATTATTACTCGATTTTTCCGTTTTCCATATACACTTTAGAATCACATTAAAATCTGAAATTTAAAAAAAAAACTTTAGTAAGGTTTCGATTTTTATTTAGTCAACCTCAAATGCATTATAAGCTTTTCATGCATTTTTTCTGCATGACAAAAAACCCTGACACTTATCAGACTATTTGTCCTTAAACATGCTGTGCAGCTTGGGTTCTTGCAACGTATTTTTCTTTTTGAAGAAAAAGAATATGCAAAACTTGTTCTGCAATTGTATGAAGGCATCAAATGGGCCATTAGTTTCTGGTGGAAGTCTTGACATGTTTTGACTTCAACAAAGTTGGTCCTTGAAATTACCAACATGGGGTCCAGTTTTTTCAAGTACTCTGTAAAACTCCAAGCCATGGGATAGTTGAGACAGCTCACCTCCCCCATACGCCAGCAAACTCATTTTTGGGATTACAATTTTAATAATTTTAAAAACAAATAGATATTATTTTGCGCATGCATTTGAAGTTTCATCAAATTCAAAAATGGGTTAGGAGTAATATTTTTCATCGCATAAATAATGTTTGAGAATAAGATGTTTGAGTGCGATCGGACATTTTGATGCCTCTCCATCGGAGTACTTGAAAAAAATTGAGCCAATGCGGCGGACATAAATATGGAAAACCTACTTTGGAAATGGTTTAATTGTGCTTAGGATAATAAACCATTTCTTTGCAACGAATTTTTTAATGGCCATTTTGGTGCTTAGAAAAATTCGCGAGCGCCGACGGCGCGAGCGGCTTGGGGCGCATCAATAAGTTTGCCCACCCTCGTGGCTAGCCTAGTTTAGGCACTGCGCATGGTAATGATTCATTACTACCTTATTTTGAGTGTATTTATTTAAGTTTACACCAAAAAGTTTAGGATTTGGGTTTTTAGGTTAAAGAGCTTTATGAATTACCACGCAGTTGGTTGATTGATTGCTTTTATGGCACATTATGTACAAGTTCGATGCTAATTGTATGTTTTTTTATAAAGTTAGTAATTAGGAATAAACAACACAACCTGTTTATGAATAAGTGTTTTTAATAAATTAGAAATTTTTTAATTAAACATTATTTAATTGCAGATACATACGTTTAGTAATTTATGTATATAGGTGACCCCCGATATTTGCTCACCACGCCGCTGCTACCGACCACTATACATTTTCACGCCACCGTCGCCGCGTGAACGGTCGGCGTTGACCACTGCTCTCCATCTAATGGCAGGTCCGCTGCTAATCCAGAAAGTGAAACTGTACTCAAGCTTTCGAGAGACCCGGTCGTTGACGGATCCGATCCTTGGTTTCCGTACGCTTGGATTTCTTCCTTCGATAAATCGGATTTGTGGAAAAACACGTCGTAAAATTCAAGCCCCAGCACATCCGCATTTTCCACACGGAAATATCCCCCATCAGCAAAATCGATTCCCCAAGAGTTCATAAAAACTAGTGCATTTGGTTCATAATCCACCAGCAGGACGACATGTCTGCCAAGCCTGCCGGTATTCTGAACACGAAGATCCTTCTTTGTCAAAACCCCGATCGGATTATCTTTAAAGAATTTTTCAAAATCCCCCCATTGTCCTTCTGGCCTGCCCTCCTCCTCTTTATAAAGCCAAAATCTTGCGATTACTGGTCTCCCCTGGGAAACTGCAAGTCTGGCTTGTTCCTCGTCAGCTAGATTTCTGTACCGCAGCCGGTACTCGGGTGCATATTTTTGCAGCACTTTGTCTGTGTCCGCCCCATTTTCCCCAAATTCAGTAACAATTTTTTTCAGTATATCATCAAAATGGGGGTAACCTCCTTCCCCCTGGGAAACCATCCTGGTTGCTAAATGGATTGCGGCAGCGACTGCGTTTGCATAGCAGGTCAGACCTACTTGCATATTTGGTGATAGTTATTCGGAGTTTACGGAAATAAAGCCGAGGAGTCCGAGGAGGAATGAAAATGTATAATTTTTATCGTGAAAGGCACTTCTGCAGAATGACATGGTGACTTCCCCTCAATCTTGTTCCAAAATCTGTAGAAAACCGTACATTACATAGCCCGAGTTAGCCAGAATCTTTTTGTTGAGATGTACACTCAAAACAAAAAATTTGTCAAATCAACACTGATGGTGTCAATATATGTATGACTTAACCGCGTTGGTTACAATTGTGATGATTTTGATACAGGTAGTGATAATTAATGTTATGACTGGACGGAAAAATTTCATTACCACTCGGAATTACAATTGTGACCAAGGCGGTGAAGTCATACATATATGGACACCGGCGGTATTGATTTGACATTTTTGTTTTGAGTGTATTAATGTATTTAACTGATGTGGTGTTTGGTATAATAGGATATCAAGTATATGTATCAAGTTACAATTTCTATATTCTAATTTTTTAAAGATTTCTTTTTAAATCTTTTCCATTTTCCGCTCGGGACATTATTAATTGAATGCGCTGGTCTTATAGCTTTTTGCATTCGATAAATATGCATTTAATATAAACATAATTAAATTTTAACTTACTTCTATATCACGAAAACCGGCCTGGGTTATCCCTGTTGAGTGAATTTTGCCGAGAAGATTTCGTGGTGGTTATCCAAACGCCACTGACTATCGTATCTGGTACGGCAGTCAGTCTTATACGTGTCGTTCCGCGCCCAATAATCAATCAGTTCATTCCCTGACAATGAAATTGTTAGGACAACGCATTCAAAGGTTTACATGCATTTCCCTGGATCACAATGGGTGATGCGCGTAATGGCGATATCTGGATGGGTAAACGTATGTAAGTGTGAGATAATGAATGTCTGATTAGCGCCGTTGAACTTATTGTTAGCAAATTTACATATGTCAATGCACCTGGATTCAAACGTCATATACGTAATAGCAATGACCTTTTTTGGCTATTGTCTTTTTATCCTTAGCCTTGCTGAATTACTTACTTTGTTTCTATTAAAGTTCACTGCACAATTAAGGATTACTGATTATTAATTAGTACTCGTTGCTCGCCGAGTCTTAGGCGCCGTCCATAAATTATGTAACGCAAGAGGGGGGGAGGGGGGTCTAAGGCTCCAATGATATCGTGCTTATGTTACACATGTTAAAGGGGGGAGGGGGGGGGGGTCTAGAAAATCGCGATTTTTGCGTTACGTAATTTATGGGCGGCCCCTTATTTTTCACCACTCGGTGAATCCATATTTTGAATATCGTTAACACTTTGCCAATTTACTTTCGACATGGACTTAATATATGTACATATGTATAAAGATTAAATCACCTTTGTTCAGGAAGTAAGTTCCACCCTCATAATGTGGAAAAATGCTTGAAAATATGTTCGAAAATAGCATGAATGCATGATATTTGTAAGGTTTGCTGTGTATGCCTTAGCATTAACTACTTTCAATGTCACTCGAAACGGTAAACTGGTTTGTTGTTGTCCAACTAATTTTAATATTTAAAAAGTACACTACGGTGCCAGTGCCCATCCGTAATCGTTATGTATCATTACGAAAATTAGGTTTATTACATATATAAATTATAATTTGCATTATGCAATTTATGTAATCACTACGCAAGTTATGTATCATGCTCGATTTATTCTTGGGAAATGATTCTGGAGGTATTTTGTCACCAACGGGATAAGTCAAAAACTTTTTAAATGAAAGTATTAATTTTTTAAATATTTAATTACGTCACGTCTGTTGGGCACATTAGCTTTTGCTTATTTCCTCTGCTTTTCGACAAAACGGTTGCACAATCATTACCCAAAAATAGAGCCCAATTCGGAGCCAAATCTTCCCTCCTTTGGGGAAGATTTGTCTCCGAATTATCTACAGTTTATGAATATGCAAATACTTATTATCTGTGGTTTTCAAAAACATGCAGATTGTGGGTATTACTTACCATTCATTATCCATTAGTACATACATATGTATAATCGCGCTATTACATAATATCCACGTTAAATAAGTCAAGGCAAATTATAAGTGTTTGTGACAGTGCTTGACTAATTCGATTTATTTTCGATAACCAAATTAATAAATAAATGCGAAATGTTTCTGAAAATATCTGGTCAAAAATGGGTACACAGTAGTTGGGTCATTCATTTATATGTAAATGAGAAGGAATTGTTTAATTTTTAAAATTGGGGTAAGGATGTACCTATGTACATACATGTATACAAATCATAATTTTAAAAAATAACACACAAAAATGTACATTTGCATTTAGTATATTTCTACACGATTACAGAATAAATTATTATTGAAGAAGTGTTACAATTGTATTCACTTGAATTATACCATAATCGTGAAATTATACAATTTACCTTTTTGCTAGATTGACTAATATTTTTATAACGTCGGATTATTCTAAACCAATATAAACAGGTGTACAAAACCGAGTTTGCAGAAGCCTACATATATTATGAAGTTAAGACTAAATACATTTTTTTTTACTTTTTGTACCGGAAAATTGAGGATTTGGTTTTTGGCTTAAATAGCTTTATACAAAGCAGAAAATGTCACGAACTTGATTGATTGATTGATTTATGGCCGAATTAAGTAATGCTTGTTCTACTTTTTTTATAAAGTTGGTAATTTGGAATAAATAAATATAGCCTGGTTATTAATGAGTGTTTTTAACAAATTAGAAAATTTGTTAATAAAATATTATGAAATTAACAATTATTGATTAAAAAATTACTCCTACAGCAAGTCGTAGTAGCAAGTTATAAAGTCACAATATGGCAAACGTATGTAAACCTCGCGAAAAGCACATGAATATTCAGCAGCCCAGTTTTTTGCAAATAAAAGATCAGTGTCAACGCAGTTACAATTGCGACGACTTTTAAGGAAGACGGCTTTTTAAGACAACCAAAGTGTACCTTACTTCAGAAAGACTTTTTGCTTGTGAAACAGGGCGTATGGATGAATTAAAGTGCATACTACATATATGCATGTAAAGTACATACATAATTTTTAATTTAAGGGCAGATTATGACAAAGGCAAATATAGGAAATTGTGATATATGATTGTTATGTATAATGTTATATTATGTTATGTTATTGTGTTATGTTACGACGTTACATATGATGTTTTCTGTTAAAACAATTATGATACGCCGCACTATGGGCCAGATTTAATAAATTGTGGCCAAAAATATATAGGAGCCGAATTTGAAGAAACAAGAATTAGATTTTGGTGTGAAACGATAACCTAAGGCATATATTATAAGTGCAAATTTTTAATAGTCACATGCCACACCCCCTGTGGGTGTGGTCCTCGGCGACTTTTCGATTTCAACGAAACAATGTCATGTGATATATCATTTTTCTTAGCTCGACTAGGGGATATCGACAGAAGCATTACAATTTTGGCACCACACCCCCAGTGGGTGTGGCTCTAAGGAAATTGTCGATTTCAACGAAACAATGTCATGTAATATATCATTTTTCTCAGCTCGACAAGGGGGATTCGATGTAATACCTAAAATTGTTAAACCACACCCACAGTGGGTGTGGCCCAAAGAAAATTGTCGATTTTAAGAAAACCATGCCATGTGTTATATAATTTTTCTCAGCTGGACAGGGGTTTCGCCGGAATTCATAAAATCAGTTTGCAGTGAGCTTTCAATTTTAACTATACCATGTCATATAATACATCATTTATCTTAAAAAACGAGGGAATTTCGACAAAATAATTAGAATTGCATTAAATTAAGAAAACCCATTTTCAAAGATTGTAATTTTTTACAATTTTTTGTTGCATTTTTCAAAATTCGGAAATAGCATGAAAAGTTTTAAATTTTCAGAAACATATTTTCATAATTTTATTTTCAGTAATTTTTGAGATAAAATTATGTTCGTCCGTTCTAAATGTAGCATGTAGCGTAAAATTATAAAACATTAAACTGTTTGACAAATAAAAATTTGAACTGAAAATGCACTCAAAACCGACACAACCGAAAACACGAGCCTTAATAGAAACGTAGAAATACTGGTGCTATTTCGGTTAGGGCATCCAGAATCGGTTTTTCCGATTTTGTAAAACCGGTTAAAAACCGGTTTTCGAGCTACCCGAAAACCGGTTTTACAATTTTCTAAAAAAACGGTTTTGTCAAAAACCGGTTTTATCACACTCGAAAACCGGTTTTCGATTTTGGACAAAATTTGTTTCAAAACCACTAAATATTTGTCATATCTTGTTTTTCATGCAAAAATTAATTGTTCTGAAATATCTGTCAATTTAATGCCCAAAATGCTTTGTTCAGCTTTAAATTTTACAATATTATATTTAACAAATTTTAAAAATTTGGTAGAAAACCGATTTTGAAAACCGGTTTTTGGGAAAACTGAAATCCGGTTTTACGAAAATTTCAAAAACCGGTAAAATCGGAAACCGGTTTTACGAAAGTTTGCCAAAATCGGAAAAATCGAAAACCGGTTTCTGAAAATTTTCCGATTCTGGATGCCCTAATTTCGGTGTGGGTGTAATTTAAAATTGGAGAAAACAAGTCGCTGGACGCCGCTGGGGGCGTGGTTTCAAAAATCTAATAATTCTATCGGGATCCCCTCGCCGAGCTGAGAAACATGATATAACACATTGCATGGTTTTATTAAAATCGAAACTTTTCTGAGAACCACACCCACTATGGGTGCGGTTTCCCAATCTTAGATATGGTATCGAATCCCCATTGTCGAGCTGAGGTAAATAACATATCACATGACATGGTTTCGTTAAAATCGAAAAGTCGCCGAGGGCCACACCCACTGGGGGTGTGGCATGTGACCATTTGAACATTGCTGGTAGTGCCCACGGTGCGGAAGTATTTTTTTGACATGCAGTTCGACTTATAGTGTTTGAAATTTTGCGGTATTCTTTAATTATGTTGTACAATTTCCTTGACCTTGTGACCTTATTAATCTAGAGCGAGTGTGGTCGAATTTAAAAAATCTGGAAATATGTATTTCGTCCATTGACCTAAGGTTTCCAAACAGTCACAACTTTGAAAATCGATCAATAATTTGAAAATGGGGTTAATGGCTGGGGTTACTTAGACTAAAAATGAAGTTAATGACAACACCCCCTGTGGGTATGTCAGTTTGCTATTAAACATTACCTCTAGCCCATGGTAGCCCATACTTTAGTTTACGCAAACAATTATTTTTATGACTTTAAGTGCGGCCTATATATATTTTTGGCCAGAATTCGTAAAATCTGGCCCATAGTTCAATGGCCCTGGTGATCTGATTGTTAAAATTATCGTTCTCCAAAAAATCCCCTTATATAGCCAGGAAGAATGATATGTCGCATGACTATGTTGCCTATAATAAAAATGCTAATGATGGCCACACCCCCTTGGGGGTGTGACTCTGACAATAAAAATACGTCCCTGTGAGAACCAGACACTGTTGTGGCATGTAGCATGCCTGAGGATATTTTGAGTTGGTTTAAATATATCGATTTAGCTTGAATTTGATTTCTTGATTTCAACAACTTTGAGTAGGTGTGGTCAGAGCAGGTTTTGGTTACCGCAGCTATACGCAGCAGGGAATACTTATCATACTACTAGGTATCGATTGACATCAATAGGGAGTCAATTGAGCCCCGAGATGAGCGGAGATGCTAGTAGATACATTTTCCCTATCTCCGTAATGTATTTGAAAAAGTTTACACCCTTGGTTCTCCTGGATGGGTGTAACGTTTCATTTAAAATTTTTCACGGAGGACAAGTTAGTTATGTAGTACACAATGGTATATGAGAATAGCCAATTCAAGATACTGCCTTAATGGCCACATTTTCCGGCACCTGGCCCATTATGCGCCGGTACAAATTACCCTAGAGGCGGTTACCACTGAAGAAATTCTTGATTCATAACATACAATCACAGAACTTGCGAGGGCATACGTTTTAAAATCCAGCCTGGTGTGTATGAACTTGAAGTGAGTAGGGTGAAAAAGCTTATTTTGTACCGACTTTTTATCTATGTTCCATGTAGCATAATTAATATATCTGCATACATGTATATTTTGTCCTCCTTGTGTACACACACGTGTGAACTTCATTCACTAAAGCGTTCTTTATTTTTAGAATTTCCTCAAGGACTGGAGGAAGTTTGATACAGGTTCACAGAGACCGAAGACGACCTGTGTCATTCATAAGTTGAACACTGTCAGACCCCGAAATGAATACTGTTGGTGATGGGACACAAAAATCAGATCAACTACGAGTAAAAATCGTAGCTGGCAGTTTCGTCCGAAAAGTTGAAAATGTCTTCCTGTACACCTCGATCTCTCCTTTGATTTACAAATCCCAGTTCAAATTCTCTAAAATAATACCTGTAGATTTAAACGGCGGAAAATGTGAGGTTTCTTTAACACACTGTTTCCTTCTTAAAAAGTCCCATATTTTCATTGAAGCAATAGAAAACAGATTAGGACTTATTGAGAGTGTAAAAATCTCACTTTTCCATACGGACTTTCTTAGACTAAGACGTAATGTCGTCATTGATTCAATTAGAGACGGACTAGGTTCCGCTTTTTCTTTTTGTTGTAGTTTAGTTACGAATGCCGATATGGATTCAATCTTTACAACTCAGAGTTATGTGAAAGAACACTTAGGCAAAATGAAAGACAGTATAATTACGGATCATAGTAATATTTTAGTTATGGAAAACTTCACGTCTGACGTCCAAGCGGCTCTCGATCACTATCAGTACACTACAAATTCTGACAGCAACTGCACAAAAGAAAAGCGAGGGCTTGACAGCGAGAAGTCACCTATCAAAACCGGATGTCAATCAACACCAATCAGATTCTGCAGTCAATGAATAAAATGGCTGAGATTATACAGTATCAAGACATCCTCACCCACTGCCGGTCTCACCTCACCCCATTATCCGCTATTGGTCCAGACGAATTAAAATCTGATGTGGAAAAACTCTGACCTGACCACCAGAAAAAAAAACTCTACCCTTGCAATTCGTCCCCAGGACATCGTGTCTATGTACAGTTACCCATTGGCAAAGTGCTACATTGCGGGCTAGGAAATTACGATTCACGTGAGAGTCCCACTACATCGAGAAGAAGCGAAACTAACATTGTACGAAGTCGTAAATCTACCGTACTTATTCAAGGATAGTGTGTGATAGTACCATCAATCATAGTCCAACCTATCAACGGAAAATTCACACGACCACCACCAATTTTTGGACTATAAACAGTGCTAAAAATGCGTGCGAAGTTATCCTTATCTCCAGTCATTCTTCTTAAATTAACAATGGAGACCAGGGGTCACTCTGCAACCATGGACTCCAGCCCCACCAACAACGACATCAGCATCCTCTTGGCGTCAACTTCCCCCCCCCACTGGAACGTCGCGAACGGCCTGTTTTTCATCGAGCTTTCTGCCGTACAACCCAATTATTTCCATATCGTCACGCTGTCGCGGAGAACCCCTACACCTTTATACAAGACCTGGTGACATACGATTTACCATAATACGGTTTGGTTCACCCACTAAATTATTAGTTAAATGGGCGCGAGCCATATATCATTTCACAGTAAATTAGTTCATGCAAATACGGAGTTAGAACTTGCGAAAACCTGAATGAGGAAAGTCCTTATAACTTTATTCTTCCCAAATAGTGGTAGGACAAGTTAATAAAAGTCAGTCTTGTATTGGTGCGGGGTTCTCTTATATTCTGAATAAACACACTCTAAAGAACCGAATGATCATGATTGTTGCTGCACATTAATTCTACTGCATCTCTACCCTTATTTCGGCGTCATATTAACGATAATCTCTCTCTGTGCATACACTGTCAAAGAGTTGGATAAGGTTGCAATATACACTAAATAATACGATGTTCAGTGGGACCTGTGTATTTCACAAACATCGTGCCCACAGTTAAATTGAATAAATTGTGCATTACAATACGCCCGTCTTTATTGTAAGACGAATGATGAAAACGAGTAGAATGTACTGATTAAGTGCCATTATTTTAGTAAGCAATTAATAAAAGCACTAATGATTTAGAATAATTTTGTAGTAAAGCATTGAATCTGAGTTTTTTTTGTTTACGAATTATTCAATCCCTACTGTCCGTTCAAAATTAATATGCCATAAAAAATTTTAAAGGTTATTTATCGGATGATAGATTTCCATGACTTGATTTTGTATAAAAAATGCGTTATTTTCGAACGTTCTCCTGATTTTAAATGGAAATCAGGAGAAAGTTCGAAAATACAAATGCATAATTGAACAGTTTTCAGTTGCAATGGGCAACTTAAAAATTAAAAACCTAAAAATTTTAAGCAGTGGCGTGTTAATTTACTGAATGTCAATTTTTTACGATCCAGAGGAATCTTAAGTATGAAAAAACAATTGAATGTCCATAGCCTTCTGGCTCTGTAGCTTGACGGAGATCATAAGAATAATTATCATAAGATCATAATATATTAGTACAGGAACTAATATCTGCACTATGTACTACGTTTCTCGCCTTATGTGTATTTACTCATTTTATTAATGTAATTGTTATTAAGTTTAATAAATAGATATATATCGTTTTGTCTGCAGCTCGAGTAATTGTGGCCAAGACGGATTAATATCACTCAATCAATCAACTAATGAGTATTTGTTAGTCAAAATCTTTTACGTAACCAAGCAATACGTGACGTATTATTTCGTGATGTACATATGTGGATCATAAATCACACCCTTTGGGATTATTTTGTATTGCTTTATGAAGCACGGTACTTATTTTTAAACGGGCCAAGTCTAAAAAGAAATAAACTGCAATTGAGAAAGATTTCAATCTGCATAAAAACTGCATATGTACATAACTAATTTGTTTTTTAAATCAATTGATAATCTTTTTTGTCCTGCCTCAATTATTAAATATAAAATAATATTATAACCTGGACCTACATCATGAAACGATATTTGAAGATCTGATAGGACGTGTTAATAGTTTGAAAACTTTTACATTTACATTATTATGAAAGAAAATATGCTCAGGAATATGCGTTCTTAGACATATTAGATCCATTTAAATTGTGCTACATATAAAATTTCAAAAATTTTCTTAACTACATAATTCAGGAGCGTTCCACCATTAGAAGGGAATGCAACAGTCCAGTTCTGTTCTTCTGAAAACCGTCAGGACGGCACTTGTTGAAACCTGAGCAAGCAAAAATATGGGAAATTTGTATCTGAAAGTAGACGTGACAACTCACTAAATAAATAAATACCATATACCGTAAAACCTCTGTTTATAGCCCTCTTCTAATTATAGCCGGTCTCCAAATATAGCCGGGTCTAGTGACCAAGATTTGCAAATTTTAGCCGGGTCTCTAATTATAGCCTGGTCCCCAATTATGGCGCCGGGTCTCTAATTATGGCCTGTCTTGTCCGCTGTGTCCCTGTTCATAGTCCATTAAAGAAAAATGTTGCACATTATGCCAATCAACGAATAAGTTGAACTACTGTTTTTTTCCTATTAATTTCAGGTTAATAATGGATGTAATCATGACAGAAAATTTAAAAAAACCTGCTAAACTTCGTTTCAAGATGTAGAATAAAAGTGAATGGGTTACTTATCACTTATCTTGCTAAATTAGAAAACTCAAATTGAGTCAACATGAATTATATTTGATATTGTAACATCTAAAATTTTAGGAGCAAAAAAATTTAGCCGGGTCTCTAATTATAGCTGGTCTCTAATTTTAGCCGGGTCCGTGACCCTAAGTTTTGGATTTCAGCCCCGGCTATAAATAGAGGTTTTACGGTATTTACACAATTTTGTGTAAAAATGCATATATTCATACATACGTACTTACATTGGCCATGATGCTCCAGACGTTTTTTATGCATAATCTCTCAGCCAAGAAAAATGAAAGATTTGATTGCCCAAGTTAAAATGTAGGTTAGACTTTGAGATCAAATTAAAATATGTTAATACATTAATCTAAAAATTTACATGTATATATTACAGATTAAAATAAAATATTGGTTTATTTATACCCTAAAAAATATCTGCTTAATGTGACGAATTTGAATCTCAGATTTCCATAGTTCTACTTGGTGGTGTTATAAGACAGGCGATTTTAACATTTACCGAGTGATTTCCACTTGTGTGAATTGAGCCAAACATGGTAACTGTCTAAATTAAAGGCAAAAATACAAAATTGTAATTACTTTCTTGATTATGGATATATATTCGGTAAAAATATGATTCGTGGTTTAAGATATCTTACCCGAATTGAGCTTCAGTTTGTCTCCATGGAAATATTTGCAATATATACAATGTAACAAATTGAATAATTCACATTTTAAATATGTCTAAAAACTTTGTTTATGTATACTTAAATAGAAACTCACTCGTCGGATGTTGGAGGAAATATGAAAAGAAATTGGTTACACTACATCACGGAATTTTTCATGTGCTGATGAATTCATTGCATTCAACAGGTTTGACATAGAAGGAAGTTTGGGGCTGTGCGGACATGATAGGATACATTTATTACCCCATATTAAAAATATGTAAATAATATAATGGTAATATCTTGATGTATGTAAATATGTCGACGGAAATCAATGACGTTCTTAATGCAGGGTCCCAATGCTCGTTACCACAAGTAATAAAACTTAACGACCAGAGAAAAGAGAGCGAGTGAATCTCGTCGAGTATTAAAACATGGGCGTCGTGCATGAAGAATGTCATGGCATTTATTGTGTCAATCTTTAAATACAAATCGAGCTTGCGATTATATTTTACATTAGGCAAGATGGCATGGCTTGACCTAGTAGTCTGAACACATCCTTTATGCAGGTACCGTTATAAGAAATATGTAAATATGTACGTGGGTGATATTTGATAATGCCATAATAAACGCTGTGAATGATATTATGTCTTAAGGATGAGAAAACACATATACTTATGTTAATGAAAAGTGGATTTTTACCGCAGTAATTATAAATAATGCACTCTTAAAAAAATTAGTGCAACAGTTTGCTACGTTAATACACTGAATTTTAAATTAGTAAATTGCATTTACGAAAGCCAGGGTAAGGTAAACTTGAACAGGAGCAATGTTTAGTTTGAATTTGGTATATTCGTAGCTTATTTACTTTGGAGGTCAGAGCGCATTTATGTATTTATCTAAATGGTCACATAATTTTTAAGAGTGTAGGAAATGATCTGGTAAAGTGCGTTGTATTTGATACAATTGGTGTAAATGGGGAATTTGATTCAGGAAAAAAATATTTGGAAAGGTTGTTAAAAATTTTGAAAACATATGTAAATATGTAGAATATATTTAATGGTTGTTTTATTCATAGCATGTGAACTTTTGGTAAAGAATCCAAAGTTTCCAACAGAAGTTTATATGTTGATGGCGGATCCTTTCTCGACTCCAATAACTCTTAATCTTTGGTTAAGGTTCAATCAAACACTATGCTTATGTAAATCAGCATTGATATCATCTTGTATATCGAGAGAAATCTCGTGTATTCAACACTTTTTTACGTATTGGTATATGTAAATAATTGTATTACCTACAATCTGTAGGCTACAAATGTACTGAGATTCATGCACCCATCAGAACCTGTGAAAACTTTATGTGTTAAATTAGATCATATGTAAATGAATGCGTGAATGTAAATGAATCATATGTAATCATGTAGGACTTTAGTGTTTAAGTTTAAATTTATAACTGCAGACTTATTTTTATACATATGTACATATGTAAATTGGTGCTACATACATACACGTAACTTACATACAGCACTGTAGTTGACAAGGATATGCACACTTAATTATCACTTACCATTCATGTTATCTATTGAAGTCATCATTAAATCGAGAAAAGGATGAAAATTTATGAAATTGATATTGATGAAAATTGGTCAAAATTATGACTCGTCGTAAAAACGAGTTAAATTGATTAAATAAAGTTGAATTGTTTGGTAACATGCCGGGTCAAAAATTCGCATACAGTGTTTGTACTTAGATTATTTATTAATGCAGAATCAATTATTTAAGTAAATGGATTTTATTAAATCTTACAATGGAGAGGTGTCAGGTGGTTATCGCCAATGCGGACCGGACTAATTTAAAATTGTTTAGGCCCAGAAATAAGCCCACCCGTATTTTTTCGTTTTCCTGAATGGGCATATTTACGCCCGTGGCGGAATTTTCAAAAATAATTTCAGTAAAAATCCTGATTTTTAAAAACGCTGTAACTTTTCGAATTTTAGCCCGATTTCAAAAATTGAATACAATTTGTGTTCAGAATTACTTCCCTGAAAATATAAAAATTCATTTTCACAAATTTTTTAATTTTCAAAAAATGTTCGTTTTTTTCATTTCTAAAAACTCAGAAATGGCATGAAAATATTAAATTTAAAAATTTTTTGAAAATGAATTTTTATATTTTCAGGGAAGTAATTCTGAACACAATTGTATTTAATTTTTGAAATCGGGCTAAAATTCGAAAAGTTACAGCGTTTTTAAAAATCAGGATTTTGGCTGAAATTATTTTTGAAAATTCCGCCACGGGCGTAAATATGCCCATTCAGGAAAACGAAAAAATACGGGTGGGCTTATTTCTGGGCCTAAACAATTTTAAATTAGTCCGGTCCGCATTGGCGATAACCACCTGACACCTCCTCATTGTTAGTTAAGTACGTATCATATCAAATTGAAAACAGAACTTTCTGCAGACAAGTTTAGAATTATTGTCCGTCGGTTCATATACTTAAATACATAGTTCTGGCTATACATTTACAAGATTATAAAAATAACTATTATTTAACTGGAATTACAATTGTGTTCATTGAAATATACCAGGATCAGGACGTTCTACTACTCATGTTGCGTTAGTAGTTCATTAATTTATGTATGCACTTGTAATTTTACACTATCTTAAAAATTATGTTACCCTATTGAAACCTCTGAATTTTAGATTAAGGAACTTGTACAAAATCCATAGTAAATTTTATCCTTCATCAAATTTACTTCACTCTGGATTTAGCATAGTTTTCTTAATATAGAATTTAGAGTGTAGTTATTTTTCTAAAGGGTAAAATTAATTTTAGTAGTTAATAATAATCAATATTTAAATATTTTGGGTTAGATTTTCTACCCGGAAAGTGGTTACGAATTGGAACTTTCGGTGCAAGAGCTTCATTTAAAGGAGAAAATATCATACGGTTGATTGATTGATTGGTTGATTTTTTTTATTTCAACGTACTGCCCTATGTAAGTCATTGAAGAAAGTCAAGCTGAACCCAAAACGAGTCATTTCCGAACAAATTCAGGACCTAGTTTTCCTGCCGCGTTTGACTAGAAGTTGTACTGAACTTGAAAACTAGAAACCAATTTACACAATCCGATTACATAAATAATTTGTGAAAAATCATTTTACCATTGATTTAATCCATAAAAATTGTTTAATCATGAAAAATCATATTTGTTGTTATTTTGATATTTAATATTACAAGATCCTACATTAATGTACAACAAATCACCGTCCATTAATAATCCCCTTATATGTAAATATTCACCCCTCAAAGTGGGGGACAGTACTACCACTGAAATCTTCACAGCATCCCAATTTGATAGTGCGTGGGCTACGTCCGAAATGAAAAATGCAAGATTTCTTCATGCAGTAGTTGTTGTTCATTCGTATACCTTTGTATGTCTATTCGTGCATTATCATTATAGTTCCGAACAGATCAGATAATCGTGTATCTGATCTGATATCTGATCTGATCTGAAAATTTCAGATATGCAAAATCGTTATCTGATCTGATCTGAAATTTTCAGATCAGATAAATCTCATATCTGATCTGAACATTCAGATATCTGATTTATCTGTTCAGATATCAGATATCTGAAATAGAATTGTCAATATTGCAAACACTACTAAAAACGTTTCAGGTTAAATTATTTATTTGCTTCTTTTTATTTTCACACATTGATAAAGGTATAGTAAAGCAGTTACTAGTAAAGAATATTATTATTTGAGGTCGAAATATCATAAAATAATTTTACATTAAATTACCCAAGCATCAAAATAATTATATCCTCTAGCAAATCACGACTGTTACTAATCTGAAGTAAATCCATCAGAATTTTGTGGTTAATTGCCTCGATGATTTTAAGATAACCCGATCACCTCAGTCTAACTCTAGAATTTTTGTGATTATTTCAGTTGTATTATTCGAAATTTTTATTCGAAGTCTGGATATTTAAATCAACGGAAACACCAAGAATTTGGTCTATTTGCAAGTTTATTATAGCTGCACGGTATTAACAAACATTATAAACGCAGTTTTTCTGTTAAAACTTGCGGTTTTGACTCGATTGAATCAGAAAATTACCAAAAATCAGATATCTGAACAGATATCAGATGTCTGAAAAAAATTCAGATCAGATATCTGATTTTACGACTGACTATCTGATCTGATCTGTTATCTGATTTTTTAATCAGATCAGATATTTTTGGTATCTGATCTGGCAATTATCTGATCTGATCTGATATCTGATCTGAATTATCTGATCTGTTCGGAACTATAATTGTCATTTCACAAAATTGCATTAACATAAGGTAAGAATTCGACAATTAGACTATAATGTGCTACCGCCGCTGGCTTGGCTATCTCAATTAATGGGTAGTGGGACACTTTATGGAGTATGTATTGTTTGGGAGAGAGGGAGAAAGGAATAATATTTTGGGTAAATTATACTTCAAAACAACACCCTTGTTATGAAATAATAAAAGCGGTATAGTTAGTGATTCATACAGTTATTACTTCTGCCTTGCCTGTATATTTTGTGCTATGTACGTATATATAAATTTTACTTTATTTTTAATTAATTTTAATTTTAGAAGGATGTCATCACTCTGTCCACCTCCTCCTAGTTCGGTAACTCCGGAGCCGAATTTCCGGACATGTAGTAAGTATTTATACATCTTATTCAAGTGCTGTGGTTTGTTTTGTTTTGTTGGAAGTTTGGGTTCAACATGACTTTCTACCTCAGCCGGGGTGTGGGCGATACTCACTACGCGTAATGGGTACCTAACGTGGAGGTGGCTATCCTACACGGGTCTCCTGAGTGAGAATGGAGTTAGGATAGGCAACCTGCCTGAGGAACATGATTCTTTTCTTAATTATCATTATTCAGGAGGGATTTTCACCGCGATTCAATTATGTGTCTGGTGATCAGTGGCATCGGAAGTCGAATAGACCGAATTTACAATAAAAATCGGCTTACGATTCAGTCTGACTTGTAGCATCAGTAATTTTACTCGATGCTAAATGAAAACAAATTTAATTTTAGATTTAAAAGTTTTAATTTGGATCTCTGTTTAAAAGTTTTAATTTAGCAGCCAATTTGTTTCATATATCCAGTGAAAATGTATAGCCAAGTACATACCAAATAGTTTGCTATATAATTCCCTTTTATTATTTTCCGGGTATATATGTATGTAAAAACACCAAATTTGTTGAATAAATCAGAGACAAACTACACATCAGTGTATGCATTTTCTCTTTTCTCGTGCAAACGCGGGTACCGGTAAATCTTCGTGACGGGCCAAACGTGGTTGGCAGATTACCTTGTACGATTCATACACACACATCCGCACAGATAATCAATAATCTGTCGTCATTCATACAAGGGGAATTCCGCACATTGTCCACGTTGGTCCCCCGCCGGGGAATACCCCGGTCTCCCGCGCCGGGGTACTTACCACTCGAGAAAGTGGCATTCGAACGTATTTAGCCAGAAACAGGATTAAATGATGGAGGTTTGTAGCTTTAATGGTAACTGGTTTGTTTGAAGCACTCAGGCAGGGTCGACGAATAAAGAATCACATTTGACCCAATTTTTATCCACTTGGGTTTTGATGAGATTCAGGCCAACCTAACATCGACTGCTTACAGTTTGGGCTTCGGTTATACTGTCGTATTTCACCCACCCGATTGGCGATAACTTCCCCAATATACCTCTTGCCAGGAAATCGTGTTGGTGTTATATGTAGATAATTTTTAACTCCTAATTTTACTGATTCCTAGGACCAAATAACGACGCAGATTCCATCAATTGAAAAGCTGTGTAGATAATTTCAACAATTGGTTACGGATTTGCGACAAACAGAGTGTACAAATTGAAAATTGCTGATTGAACATTTTACAATCGTCACGTCAGTGTGGTCGCCGATCCACGATTAGTTGACTTCAATTGGATGAATGAAATACCAGTTCTAAATCTCACAACTAGTCACAACCTAAAAAAACCTAAGGCGGGCTAGCCAAGGTTACTGAAAAGTGCAACTTTTGACATAATAGGTGAACCTCATCAGTATTCACATCTTTCTTCTCATTAATCATGATTTCCTCAGGGCATCAAGTGATTAATGTCACATCTCTCACAAGTTACAAGTCATCTCACATCCCACTTTCTAAGACTTGTCTATCGGACCGACGGACCAGTAACGATATAGTTTGTAGGTATTCTTATAGGTACATGTTTACTATATAAAGGGGCAACAGCCACAGTACAAGGGGTTGTCGTTGTAGGACAAGTTTCTTGACTGTTGCTGCTGGCCTGCCGCAATAACATTATAATTGTGCATGAGTAAGAGCATAAAAGTCGATCTATTAATTCTCAACATATCTCTCAAGTCGAGACCATTCATTTCGCATCTTCTCCTCCCCTCATCTCATCTCTAAGTGACCCAGCTCCCTGGCCATTGTGGGGTCATCGAAAGGGCTAAATTACATTTAGCACATTTCATTACCTAACATCTGTTATTATCATGGATTATAAGGAGAGTAAGTTCCTTATATATGTACGGCTTGCATTAACGTTTTGGTTTATGAAAAGAAGCAAGGCATGAACTTCAAGGCTTTGAAGAATTAATCGTTGCATAATTGCCTTGGAACTCAGCCTAACAAGAAATGCACATCCAAATTTGCGTGCTCATATTGCCATAAATGAGAAAGTGTAGGACTCAACATCATACAATGATGTGGTCAACATTTACATACAAGCAGGTTTAAGCTATGTCTTTCAAAAGGAAGGGATGCTTTAATTATGAAAAGTTTTCTTTATCAAATCCGTGTTCTAACAAAGTTTGGAAATTGTAGAATTTTCATGTAGTCTAGATTTCTTTGGTTGACTTCACAATGTGCATAAAACCAAGTAGTGTTATAGAACACTATATTCAAATTAAGGTGAGCTTAATTTAAAATATTCTTAAAATTAGCGCATATATGTTATTGATTTATTCCCATTTTTTTCATTATTTATTGGGAAGTTTGTAACCAAAAACCTGGCTTCTATGGCTACCATGTAATTTCCTGGTATAGTAAATGTAATTGCCGACCTTTTCTGTGGTTTTCAATTATGCTAACTTAGGTGCGGATTGTTTTAAATTGATTTCAGGTGGAACTTTGAAGTGTTTTCCACTTAATTCAACTTGGGTTTTTGGACGTGTGTTAGGGTTAATTACGGACCGGGGATGACTTTCTACATAACCCGGGGTCGGCCCTACGCCTACTGGGTTCCCAACCTACCTCTCGAGTTCCCGTGTTTTTGCAAACATTACGTTGATTTCTCCCCCAGGGGAACACTTCAGTAATAGGGTAAAAATTTTAGTTAGTTACCTTCATCGCACATTTGTGTATACCGCCATTATTGTACGAAAGCACCGTCACGTTTTTCGTATACTCAAATTCTATGTTCGCAAACATTGTCCAGTGTTTCGCAGTTACAATTGCGAACTGATTTAAACGTCATTAAGTTATGCAAATTATTAACTACTTTGTATAGGGTTGTAGTTTTGAGTTAAGCTTCAATAAAAGATGTTCAGAACTAGTGGTTTCTCTGCCCATCCCATTGCTTAATTTACATCTAGATTCAACATGTGTTCCAAATAGAAGCAACGGAAAAGGAACGAAAGGTGTCCAACAACTGACCAAGAATTGATACAATGGTAACCTTGTGTATTGTGAAAGAGCAGGTTTGGTCAACTTCATTAATGCCAAACCCCTTAATTAGTATGCCGCTCACCTCCATCATCTCATACAAACCAGAGACAATGTTGCCTTAATTAGTATGCCGCTCACCTCCATCATCTCTTACAAACCAGAGACAATGTTGGAAAACAGCTTCGTCACAACCTCATCTGAGATATCTCTATTCAGCGTAGCCAACCGGTTCATAATCGGTCAACACATAGGTATCAATTAGGTATTGCTAGGATATATAAGCGAAAGCGCAGCCACCATAAAAGGAGGACGGTCGAGGAAGTATTTTGTGCTACTGCAGGTTACCTCTCCCAATATTATTGGGCGAGGCAGAGTTCTGCCTGTTGTACAAGTAATGAATAAAACCTCTATAAGAAAAGTGCAATCAAGTCTCATCTCGCCTCACAATTATTACGCACACACCACAACAACGACGACGATCGTCTCATCTGCCTCATCACTACCATCACTGCAGTCAACCCCCCATAAACGGAACTTCACAGTATGCTGCTGCCTGCCTACCACAATTCGACATTATTAATAAACAGTCTCCACCACATCTCAATTACTCGTACATTATTTCACATCAACATCTATTCGTGCAACGAGGTTAGCCACTTGTGGGGATAATATGAACATCCTTATTGGCGTATTTCAATTGCACGGCAGAATTTCAATTTGACCAAAAATTTGTCACCGACATTTATTGAGCAATAAATAAAGGATTCTAGAAATGTAAGTGGTCTGATGCATGTTAGCTGTAACACGTACCTATATACAGCATACGTCATGTTTCGACCAGACTTCTGGGATTCAAATCTATGTAGTATGCACGATTTCATACTACACGATACTGAGCTTAATGATCCATATAATGTAATTTCAAGAGCAGCAAATCCTTGGAACGAGAACGGGAGTCCCGGATTGGGCGATTGGAATGGATGAGCCAGAGGCCTTGGTAGCGGTGTGGGAGTCTTGTGCTCCATCGGTGCCGGACCCGACGTGGACCAAGTTGGAGTTTTTGTCCACGCGTCTCCTCGTGGTTGAGGGTTCCCCGAACGTAATGGTTCAATTGAGTGGATACCCTCATTGGGTTATGTTATTTTGCTCCTCGGAGGACCTGTCTGGAGGCTCTACCTCGTGATGGATCGGGGTATCGACTGAAATAAACTCCGACGGGAGGACAGGAGGCCAAGAGAGTAGGGGATCTTTGTTGTTATGTGACTTGGTATTTATTTGTGTATGTTTTTCAGTGGGGCTGAGGAAGGCTGTCCAGAAGAACCCCTGCGGGTGAATTTTCCGTCCCGAGCATGTGGAATATGTGACACTTCAGTTCATCATGGACCATAGGTCAATGATTTTGGTATGTGCAGTTGACCGTCGTGAAAAGAGGAGGAAGGGGTGGTTTGTGAAATGTGCTAAATGTGATTTAGCCCCTTTCAATGACCCCGCTGGGGCTAGGAAGCTGGGTCACTTGGAGATGAGATGAGATGAGGAGATGAGGAAATAAATGGCTCGACTTGAGACAGGTTGAGATTCAGCAGATCAACTTTTATTCTCTTTATTTCTTGCAGACGCACAATAGCAAAGAGGTTGGATCAGGCCAGCAGCAGTCAGGACTCGTTCTACCAGTAACGACCCCAGTGCTGTGGCTGCTGCCAGTTTATATAGTAAACTGGTACCTAATGAGTATACCTATATGCTATATCGTCATTGGTCCGTCGGTCAGATAGACAGGAATGGAAAGTGGGTTTCCATTCCTGTGTCTAAGAACTTGTATCTTGAGAGAGAAGATTCGCGATGATGATCGCGACATTAATCCATCAATGTCCTGAGGCAGTCACGATTAATGAGAGGAAGGAGGGATGGGTTGCATTCTTAAAAGCTGCGCTTTTCAACTCCATGCGATCTAGGACGAGGGCCTTCGTCCAGGAAGTTAAACGATGGGAAAAATAGGGATATAAATGAAAGATTCGACTGCATCCGTTCCTGTGTGAGAGTGGTCGAGCGTCTTGGTTCTGTAATTTGCCAATTTTCAGTGGAGGAAGAGCTTGTGCGTTGTTCCTGCAAGTTTCCAATTGTCAGTGGTGTGAGTGATCGTGCGTCTATTTTGCAGTTGTCCAAATTTCAGTGGTGGCAGTGCTTGTGCGTACTTTCTGCAAGTTTTCAACTGTCCAGTTTTTTTTCAGTGGTGGATCCCGCAATCGTAACGTAAGGTAAGAAAATTCCGTACGTATTAGTGTAAGTGCATGAAACAGAGTTGTGCCATGCCGAGGGGCACTAAATGACATGGCAAAATGTTTAAAATATACAAAGTGCATAGGGCTGGAAAATGGTTAGACAATTCTGGGAAGTATGTATGACAAAATTACATAACAAAAATTGATAGCTTAGGTTGGAAAAATTATTAAAAGTGTAGATTACAAACTGTCATGGAAACTTAGGTGAGGAAAATTAAAGTTGAATTTAAAAATAAAAATAGTGAATCTTAGGCTAGAAAAAAAATAATTAAAATTAAATTGAAAATAAATCTTAAAAATAGCTAATCTTAGGCAAAAAAATAATTAAAAAAAATTTTTTTTAAATAAAAATAGCTAATCTTAGGCTAGGAAAAAAAAAGACAATAAAAAGGGAAAAGTAACAAATATTGGTAAACCTAATTATGCTTAGGTGGAATATAATTATTAATATCGTGAACTATTGCTTATCGTAGGTGAGCACGAATTAAAAATTAGCATGAAAAAAGGCCTAAATTTAGGGGCGGTGAAAATTAAAATTTAAATCAACAATGATAAAATCTATGAACCTAGGTGAGGTCAAAATAAAATTAATAATTATCGAAAAGTTAAACTCAGGCGAGGAAAGGCCTGAGAGGGAAAATTTAGAGTTAATGATTGGCGAATTAGAATAATCTTAGCTAATGGCAGTTTAAACTTAGGTGAGGTAGTATAAGAATAATATAACAAATGCACAACAATAAAAACAGCGGACTGAAGTGAGGGAAACTTAAAATAAATAGAATTAACAATTGTTGAGGATTGGAAAAATACCAGCCCTTAGGTGAGAAAAAAAATTAAAATAGCGTCAAAGAGGGAAATATGAATTTGAAGCAAAACTTAACAAAGGTTGGACCAACAATAGACCAAATTAGGAAAATAATTAATAAAATTGACGTGGGGTATACTTCTAAATAAAATCAAAAGTAACAAAAAAATTAGCTTAACTTAGGTGTGCTATTATATAAAGAATATACCACAGTGAAATATGTGGATTCTAACTAATACGTATACTTATCTTTAAACTTACAATTACGTACATTTAAACATACACTACAGTAACTTATACTTAAAAAAATTTCGTAGGCGAGGTAAATCTAAAAATAACAAAGGAGGATAAATATATGTTAAATGTTGGTTGAAAACAATACAACGTGTGAAAAAGTTTTAATTAGTAAAATTAGAAGATATTGTTTTTTTTTTAAGCCTGTAAGATGATGATGGAAGTCGAGGATTCGTGCTTGGGGTCGGAAGGGCGGGGAGTCATGTCTGGTCGGCCTGGAGGTGTGGGGGGCGGATCCACCGGTGGAAAAATGTACGTTTTGGATGTATTTATGTATTTATGTACTCGTGTATCTTTTATTACGAGAGCCAATTATGGGGGGTAGTCCTAAGTAGGGTTGTATGGTTTTGTAGTGTGTCGTGGGGAAGGGGGCGGCGGTTTTTCTTGACTGAGAGGATTCGTGGTGTCCGGTTCGCGTGCTGGATCTCGGAATATGGGCCCTCGGAGGAACATAATCCCGGGGAGCTGTGTCTGAAGGCCGGATGCGGGGTCATCCTCCGTCATCCTAGTTGGTCGGGAGAAATAGCCTTGTTTCCACCCCGGGATAACTTGAATCTTTACCGGGAGTATCTACCGGAGGAGATGAAGTTGGGCCAGTCGCCTAGGGACCCGGAGTTTGAGTAAGCCGAGAGGTTTTTATTCGTTCGGGGAGGGGGGTTTAGGAAAAGCTGTTGGAGTAGGTGGGTGCGGGGATGTACGAGGAATCATTTGTTTGTTTTTACAGGGTTGTGGTAGGACCTCATATGAGGTTCCTGGTGACGGATCGCCAGGATAGGGAAGGCATCTATCAAACTCGATGGATTCCGAAACTTTCATTCGAGTTGGGGGAGTTTGCGCGTGACTCTGACCCAGTGGAGGATTAATCCATCAATGTCCTGAGGCAGTCACGATTAATGAGAGGAAGGAGGGATGGGTTGCATTCTTAAAAGCTGCGCTTTTCATTTGATATGGTTGTTTGCGTGTTTTGGTAGTCGGGTATCCCCCCCTTCGATGGAAGAAGTCCCTACAAGTCCCTACGGACCTTCTAAACAGCGTAACTTCGAGGATGGTGCCCGAGACCGTGTGGGATCCTTGAAGATTTAGCGCGGGAGGAGGTGCTGAGGACTTCTTCGGAGGATGACGAGAGTGATGATGACTACCGGCCTCCTGATTCCTTGATGGAGGTGTCCCCTGAGGAATCTGGGTGGCTTGATATGGTAGGTAAATATTACGAATATTGTTGTATTGTGGTGGTACAAACCAAGTACACACCATGTACTTGTTTTGTATTCGAACAGCTGTTATGAACAGATATTAGTGACGAGAAGGAGTTACATTTTAGCAGAGTTTGGTTAGACAGAGTAGGGAAATTATATTGGTGTTATAGTTTATTTTTAACAGCATCAATAAAAAATCCTTACAATTACTAGACATACCTATGCCGGAAAATTACTAAAATGGTTACCTTTACAGACGTCGGAAAATTACCAAAATTGCATTAAAATTGTATTCAAGCCCACTGGAATAGTGTAGAATATCTAAAATATTAGTATGATTAACGGTTCCATCTGTGTATACTCGTGTTGGAAGATGGAAATACGTATTCACTTATTTCTATAACCAAATAACGAAGCAGCTCCGATCAATTGAAAAGGCGGTAGAAAAATTCAACAACTGCCTGCGGATATGCGACAAACTTAAATAGACTCAAAAATATAAACCAAAAATTGCTGAATGCACCTTTCATGCAAATGTTGTTAACCGCGAAGATAAGGTGCTTGCGGTGGAGTGTGTACAGCTCACTGGTTCTCTTGAACCCAGAGCTTATTTTGCTCGTTTTATTCAACATATCCTGAGCAGAGATAGCACAAATATGGGTCGTAATCACAAGAAAACTTGTAAGTACTTTAATCTGCAAGAGAATATGAAATATATTTAAAAATATTTGATTCAACATATTTCAGAGAAGGCGAAACGCTCACTTCACCTAGGGTCGCTCCCTCATTACATTGCAGTTTTGTGAAGACATGTTATGCCCCGACTGTACAGCGGGATGAATTTTTATAGGCCAGAGTAGCCCCTTTTGTCCGCCACTGAGCCGACTCATATTTCTCTACAGAAACAGTTTTATTTCGCCGTAGAGCGATAACATTTTGAGCAATAGTCTCAGTTTACCCTGCCCTTATTTTTGTGTAAGTCGTACGCATCATTTGTCTCAGTTGACCTCGGAAACTATTCGGTGAATTTGTTGCCCGTGTGCAACGCGTCGTAGTTTAGTACTTAGATTTCTAGAGCCATATGGATGGACTCGCAGAATCCCTATGCACTCAGGTAGTTAAAAACTATAAAATACAGCTTTATAGTTCTATTTGTCGTAGAAAGGTTACTTTTTATTAAAAAGTTGAGGAATATAAATGCAACAATAATATGAATATTTTCCAGTTATAAACCATAACAAGACAGCAACACAGTTAAATGGGCGTTGATCTTACTGCAGGTCCCATATTTGCTATGATCCTAATGTTTATCCTATGATGCAGAAAAGAGTATATTTCCTCTCTAAAAAACTAAGGATGCAAATTTGTGTAGAACTTTGGTATCCTTTAAATTCCAATAACAAGCAAAATCCCTTTCCACTTCTATGTCATGGAATTCAATACCCCGCATTGCCAATTCCCCCCCCCCCACCCACTCATACACCTTCCTTAACAATAATACACTGATATCAACATTATTATGCAGCCTTATTGGCTCAATCCTTAAATAAAAAACTACTTATGTGCAAAATGATGCTTGCATTTTTAAATTCTTGTAACGCCATGGGCAATTGGAGGGGAAAGGGTTCATGTAGGAATTTAATTAATCAATCAATCAACCAATTACGATATAGTTATGTAGCAACAATCTCCAGGATACGCGTGACAATAGATATTTTTCTTATGAGCAATACCGCTCATTGTCACTCATGCGCCGTTATAGCTTGTGTCTTGATAAATAGTTCCATATAATAAAAATAGAACGGTCTTTACAAATAAATTAGTTAGGATAGAGCAAAATTTTCCATTTTGCGTAATACCTTTTTCTCTGAGGGAATTATTAATAAATAATTTGTACGTGGAAATACGATATTTTCATTTCTGACCAGTGCCGTTGACAATTTAGTCTAAAACTTGTCAATTTATGCAATTTCTGTCACTAAAGGAACCAATATGCCCAACGCGATGAGCTTAAATTTAGATAACAAATAATATTTTAAAACTTATCTTAACTAATTCAGAAACGTTCCTCCTCATGTCGTTGGGATTTGATGGAAAGGCGAGACACATTGCGTTCAGTTCCATTCTTCTGAAAAATGTCTGGACTCAAATTGTTGAAACCTAAAGAAACAAGAACGTTGTTATATGTTACCTAATAAGTAGGTGAACACTCTTATAAAACTGGTATTACCAGGCTTAGTATGAATTTGTGTAGGGTGGTTTATATAAATAAATAAACCACCCTGTCACCTGTACATAAATATGCTTTTACCCGAATGATACTAATTATCATTACCATTTAGTAATGTGGTGGAAATGAAAAATTTGCAAATAAGGCATAAAAGACTACCAATCCGGTAAGAAATTGCTACCAAATCAATACCAGGATGTAGTACATATGTATTATGTGTGCCTACATAATATATTTACTTAATTTTGTATGCATACTTACTTTGGTCGTGATGAACACTGTTTTTTATAATTATTCACTCACAATTAGGGTTACGTAATTGTTCCGTTATAAATTTAAATCTGAAAATCTGTAAATTAAAATATATTGATTTACGTTACAAAATAAAATACAGATTTTTTAATTACTAAAATTAATTTGGCGTACCTTAAACTGGTCGAATTTATTTTACTTTTATTTGTGCGAACATGTATATATGCATGTAGTTTTCGCTAATTTGACTGGATGGATTTGCACGATTTTAAAGTTTTCCAATGTACGTTTTATCTTGCGCGAATGGCGATAACCATCTGCAAAAATGCATATGCACATAAATACCCGTGGAAAACTTACAAGGAGGTCTCCCACCGAATTTTAAGCAGACTAGTGTCAATCAATCACACATTTAATGAATACGAAATTATGCAAAAAAAAAAATCCACACTTTCCGCAGATGTACATATGTATTTGCATCAGAGGAGGAGAAACCACGCCGCAAAGTAGGTAAGTTGTACACTTTCCAAATTTACTGCTCTTTTTCTCCACTTCCGATGCAAATATTGCAAATATCTCTGTCAAACCTGGCAAATTTTATACTAATTAAATGTTTGATTGATTGAAACTACATAATTCAGTCAATATCTGTAAGCTGGGAGACCTCCACTGCTATACTAGTTATTGAGTTAATTATTTTAACTCTGTACTTATATCAGATTTCGATAATGATGTTATACAATACATAGTTATTTAATAATCTTACCCGAACCTCATTTTGTCTCCATCCAATCCACAATTCATCCCGAGGGAAGAATCGCGTTAAATCGGCATTTTAAATGTCCCAAAAATATTATATTTCTAAACAGAAATCCACCTTATTTATTGCCCAGATGGATGAGGCAACTGCACCCAGAAATCGGACAGAAGTTTCGCCTTGTATTAAATCCACCGACTTGGCCAACAGGTAGGTTTAAAACTGTGCAGAAATGATGGGATAATTTTTTTGAAAACGTTTTAACCCATGTTAAGAAAAATGATATGAGATTTCTGGACCTATGTTTGTATATTTGTCCAGGTAAATTAGATGACATTCTATGTGCACGGCCCCTTCACGGGGTAACACTCTGTTAATGGAATGTGTAAGAAAAGCGTGAGATTGAATCTGGTTATGTAAATGTCACCGTCTTGCGTGAAGAATGTCATGGAAAATTTTTGGGGTGATATTTATGTACGTCACGAGGTGACGATTACGCACGTTTTGTTTTGCATTGGCACGATGGGATGACTTGATTAACATCCGTAATGCTTGGACCTCTGCAAAAAAAATACATTAGTACGAAGCATGATGTGAAATGGTACTTAAAATATTTACATACCTGCCGAACAGTAAAGACCATGAGATAAAAGTTGCTTCAGGCATCATCACCCTAGATGAATGCATCGGGATGATGGACAATTAAGCGTGGAATGCGCTATGGGGCATACCTATGGTAAACAATGACTTTTTTCATTGAAAGATAATAGGAACTGTAGAATCACTTCTACATACATAAATAAATCTCATGTATGTATTTATGAGGCTACACTCCAAGAAATCTGGTAATAAATCTTGTAATATAATATAATGTAGATTTCCATTCCCATGGAAAGAAATGATTTTGAAAGATGCTCTTGCGTAGTCAGCTTTTTGGATACTTTTTGTGATTTTTTTTCGTACAAACTCTAGCTTATACTCTGATCAATAAAAATAAAAATATTTTTAAAGATCAAGATTTTCTTGGATGAAGGTTGAGTTAAAGACTTCTATAAATAAATTCTCCATAATTTCTAAAAATTTAAAAGCTGTTTTACTTAATTTAAGCAATTTAAAATTGTGTGCATATTTCAATGGTTTCGTGTATTCAAAAATATTATAAATACCTATGTATGTGTCCAACTAGGTATGTATGCAACCTATTTATTTACTTATGTAACCGGAAATAAAAAAATTTTATCACTTACATTTTGAGGAGAAACATACATTTTTTAAATTTTGTATGTATGCATGTAAATATGCAAAATTGAAAAAAAAAATTCAGGAACCTGCAAATTTCGGTTTTCATAATTTATGTACATTTTATGTATGTATTGGTATAATTCAATTATACCAGTACATGTTTTCCCCAATCGCTTATCATACAATTATAATAATTGTATAATAAGCGTAATATCATACTTGTATCCAATTATGTACTCCAATCCTTGTGTATTCATTTACTGAGCAATAAACACTTCACGATAAATCAGTCTTTTTCATACGCCTCTCTGAAAGGGTATTTGGCAGGAATCGTACTTGTTATGACACACTCGGGGGCCGTGCATCAAAGTTGTCACACATTTTTGTTTAAAAGTGTTACGTAGTTCCGATGTTAATCTCGTGCTCTGAGCTGTGAGTATACGAATCTCTTTCATGGAGACGAGGATGAAATCGGCCACGTGCTTTCCGCACGGGCCCAGATTTGCACTATTTGAACATGTTATTGCGTGCTTGACAGAAAAACAAAATTAACAAGGTTTAACTCATCATCAGTTTTTTGCAGAGTTGTTTGTACATATTTAACCTTGATGAGATCCATGTGTCCAGTCCAGTTGCTTATTGTGAACGTGACAAATAAGTGTGTATTGTTAAAAATCTGGTAGAGTTATTTATCTACTCCATACTGGTATTGATTTTGTAATAAATTTCGGCAGCAGTTTGTTTCTGAGTGGTAATTTTTTCATTAGCGGAACATTAGTAAACGTTAATGCTTATTTTTCATTTACTCCGGTCAGGAATAATTTCATGTCAGGTTTTTAATAGCGTAGTACCATTAATTTTCTTAGAGCATAAATCAGAATGTGGTTTATCTCTGTAATTCTCGTCGTTTTGGGGTCACTCTGGTTTTTGCGGCGTTTCCTAAAAAATTACAACGCGGATAAATTGGCGTACTGGAAGCAAGGGTTTACCATTTTAGAAGAGAAGATTTCCGGTTGGGACATTTTCACCGGGTCGGGAAACGTGACAGATTCGGATATTGAGTATTATAAAGAGTTGGGGCGGAGAGGGGAATCGTGCGGGGTGGTGACCGAGTTAGGAACGCCGATCCTGATCGTGAGAGATTTGGATGTCGTGAGAGATATTTTGATTAAGGTGAGATTAGGAGGAGAGGTTTGTGCACCCTTAAAAATTATGTGACTATTTCGAAAACTACCTAAATTTAAATGCAGGGTTAATTCTAAGTTGCGTAAACTATACTAAATCCTAAGCATCATCAACTTGATAAAGAGTGAAATTTACTCAGGATCTAGTATTCTTTCGTTAATTCCGAATTCAAGGGACATTTTTAAAAACGTACGTATTGAACATTATTTTTAAGAGTGTGATCGACTTTAAAGGAGTTTGCACATGTATGAAAAATTGACTATTCATAGTCTTCTGCATGCTGGAATTAAATTTAAAAAATTATTAATTTTTATTAATTTTTTTGACAGGATTTCGATAATTTTACGGATAGAAGATCGTTTGGAGATGTGAACAAATTATTTAAAGAAGGTTTATTCGGGTTGGATGGGAAGAAATGGAAAAATATGAGGACCTTTCTAAGCCCCACCTTCACCTCGGGACGGATTCGTAAAATGTATTCACATTTCGAAAAGTACGGTCACTGAATTAATTATTAAATTAGGTCAAATCAAATTTTTGAATTTTTCGGATAACTTACATATGTACATGTATCTCATTATACTTAATTAGTGTTTCGAATTTTTTATTTGATATTACTTTAGTTTCAAAAGAATTCAATTTATTTAAAAGTTGTATGTATATTTTTGATACAAATTTTTATTATGCTTCAATTATTTTTAACTGATGTTTGAAATCTTACTTATGTTTCAAAATATTAGAATTTACAATTTTTTGAAAATTTGGTCCTAATTTTCTCTTTTCCACAGGAGCGCCTCTAATTTGACCAGTTTCATCAAAAACCAGCAAAAAACCTCCTCCACCAACTTCGACATGCCCGTCGTAGAAACGATGCGAAAATTTTCCATGCAAGTCATCACCTCCACCGCGTTCGGATTAAAAGTCGACGCGTTCCATCCTTCCGATGAAATAATTCCCGTGGCCCGACGCCTCTTTACTATACCAACGTCCGCCAAAGTAAAGATGATTTTCATTATCCAATTTCCCAAAGTGGCGAAATTTCTAAAAATGAAGGTCGAAGATGTCGAAGGGGTCGAATTTTTCTGGGGATTGATTTCATCCGCGTTAAAGCTCCGACAAGAAAGTGGGGTAAAAGGGAACGATTTTCTGCAAGTTTTGGTGGACGCGATCAATTCTAAGGAAGAAAAGGGTGAAATTGATTGGAGCGAGGATCTCGCAATTCCGCAAGCGTTCGCCTTCATTGCGGCGGGATTTGATACGATCGCGAACAATTTGTCGGTCGCGTGTTATGTTCTCGCGACGCATCCTGAGGTTCAAGAGGAGTTGTATCGGGAAGTGGAGAAGGTCATGAAAAAAGGTGGGGAGAAGGTATCCTACGAGGAAATTAATGAGATGGAGTATCTCGATATGGTCGTGTCAGGTAAGGTTCTCTTGATATTGAAATGTTATTGGAGAGGTTGAGAAAATTAGGTGCCGAGAAATTAATGCAGATAACTGCAATTATCAATTTTTTGTTAAGGCACAGCTATTATTACTTTTAGTGATATAACTTTCCCACAGTTTCTGAACCTACTTTCATCCAATTTGGGAATTTTTGTAAAGGTTTAGCTGGTCTGTTTTATAAAATCTAATCAGTTTCTCAACCCGACTATTTATAAAACAAGTTCTAAATGCCATTGACCGGATTAGCGAGTACCAAATTGTGTTTAGTTCTACGGGTTAAGCCCCGCCAGAAATTTGTAAATCGTCCATACAGCTGTCTTAAATTACGTTAAAATGAGTCATAAAACTTTGCAAAGCTTACGAAGGTAAATATTAATAACAATTTATTATTCTAACTTCCAGAGGTTCTCCGACTTTACCCAGCGGTGGCTCGAATGGACAGAATGTGCACGACGGAGTGTGCGTTAGCGGAAGCAAGAAATGGCGGGAAAGCCAGAATAATTCCTAAAGGAACTATGGTAGCTTTGCCGGCCGATGCATTTCACAAGGACGAGCAGTTTTTTTCCAGATCCCCTAAAGTTTGACCCGACCCGATTCAGTCAAGAAAACAAAGCAAAAAGAAACCCCTACGTGTACATGCCGTTCGGAATCGGGCCGAGAAATTGCATCGGTATGAATTTACTCTAGTTTTGTTTTACTACTAATAAAATTTCGGGGTGAAGTCACGGTTGTTTAAAATACTTTTTGGCGAGAATTAGTTACTAATAATTAACACTTTCTCGGTTTATCAGAGATTACGATTTGATTGATTAAAATTTTATTGATTTTGGCTTATTTGGTTTGATCTAGGGATGCGATTTGCCTTAGTGGAGACGAAAGTAGCTTTGGCACATATCGTGCGAAATTTCGAAATCAGGCCCTCCGCTGAGACCCCGATTCCCGCCAGGATGGAGAAAGACATGCTCGGATATAAAGTTGGGATGGATGTTAGCCTCAAATTTATACCGAGAGCTTGAAATGATACCGTGATGTAAACCTTAATTTAGTAAAATGTAATATTACTTGGATTTTTAGAAATGCACCGATTAAGAAATTGCAAAGTGCAAAAAAGCATAATTTAAAAGCAATACTTATGAAGTTAATAAAAACACATTAATGACAGCAGCTGATGTGAATAGGTATTTATGATAAATAAATAAGTCGAAACCTGGTTTAAACAAAGTAAATAACAGATAATGTTTAGAATATTATGCTCATTTTATTGGGCAAATGGGGCCCTGGTTCATATCTGTTCATAAATAATTAGTTTAATATTAGCAAAGAATCATTCAGGGTTTTAGCTTTTCTAGCCAGAATTTTTTTTTGTTAAATTATTGTATTTCAGGTTTGGGGTGGGTTTTCTCCTGTTTTGATGTAAATATCTCAGCAAAACTTAAGCATTGTCAGATAGTTCATTTGCAAATTTTATACTAATTAAATTTATGATCGATGGACGATAGTTTGGTCCAAATCTGGGAGCATACGTTGGTAGACCTCCATTGTGAGTTATAA